ACGAAGAAAAGGCCTGACTGGGAGGACTCGGAGGAAGGACGTTTGGACTTCTCCTTCCCTGACTTCCTGTGCGGGGCAGCAGAGGGGTCCAGCAGCTGAGAGCCTGAAGGAGGAGGAGGAGGCTTGAAGTTGGGTGGTTCATCTGGGAAAGAGGAGAGATCATCCTGCCAAAGCAAGAACAGTTTTTAGGACACCGTGCCCAGCCGTGAGAACTTGCCCAGAACTTCCCCACGTGTAGCTTTTCACAGTGACCATGGCCAAAGGAGCTGGTTGTTATAAAAACACCTTTCTGACCTTCTGACAATATGACTCACAAATGAGGATGATTAGAGGACAAACCACCCAACATTTGCAACATTGTTCCTATTCATCCAGCCAGGATCCTTCTCCTCACCAACCTGGTTGGCCTCAAAACATCCCTGAGGTGTTGGTGTAGCAGAGCTACAGAAGCTGAGGCAAAACCCAGTACCCCCAGTTTGCCTGCAGCTCCCACCCAAGGTGCAGCAGCTCCATGCAGGGCCTTACCAGGGACACATCTGGCAGGGTGTTGATGCTGCCTTGGTGGCAGTCCCCAGCTCCTTCCAGTTCAGATGTGTTCTGATAGGGCAGAGAAGGAAGAGAAAACCATGTCACAGCAGCAAGAAGCAACCACCACAGTGCCAGAGTGATAGGGAACATGCAGAGTGATGCAGGATATCCCCCAAATCTCCCACATGCAAGGCCAGTCTTTCACCCAAAGGTTTTGGCTTGCTTGGATGATCCCTGGAGACTCACACATCATAGAACAAAGCAGCTTTGCTGGGATACAAACTCTTCCAAGCTAAGCAGTGTGCTCAAAGCATGCAGTGGACCTGACCTACTGTGGTGAGCTCCCCTGCAGCTCCTCTTAACCCAAATCAGCACCTCCTGCTGAGTTTGGGAGGGGAAGAACCAGCTCTGAAGGCTGCAGGTTCAATACCTGGATCTTTCCTGGGAGAAGGGCAAGAGGAAAGTTTAAAGCATCCCTTACAGCCTAGAGCAGTGGGTCTCAGGTGCAAAGGGAAGCTGCTGCCACTACTTTCTCTTTATGAGTCAAAATGTCATCAGGAAATGCCACACCACAGCTCTGGACATATCACAGCTCCAGGAATGCAGAAGGGCTGTGGGAATCTGTCAGTCTGCCTGCAAAGGGGCAGCTGTTGGTCAGGATGGACACAGGGAGAGAGGATGTGGATACAGCCAAGCGAACGGGCAGCCTGGCTAAGTCCCAGCAGGGATGGCAGAAAGGGGTGCAGCAGAATCTGAGGGTGCAGGTCTGCCCAGGCTCCAGGGATGCTCTGCCAGGGAGACACAACCCCAACTGCCCTGGTGCTGCTCTAAGAGCAAACCCAGGCTCAGCACCCCCTCCCACAGTAACTCCTGTTCTGAAGAGGAGCTGCTGCTGCTCAGAAAGGGTGACCTTGGCTCCTGTCACGTTCACGGGGCTGTTTGTTCACTCGTGCTGGATTGGGCAGGGCACAGTTTGTGTTTAACTGCCTGTTATTTATTGCAGGGTAAACAGCTGATTAGCTGAAATGCTGGTGCATCTGCCTCTCCCCCAGCTGCTGGAGGCTGCTGCTGTGCCTGTAAGATGTTAGCAGCCCAAAATAGACACGGGAGACAATTAAGAGCATTAGGGAAGCAGCAAAAACATTGATGCAAAGTGCTTTTATCTCTGTGGCTTCTAAAGGAACCCTGGAGAATGAGAACTGAAAGAAACAGCTTGTTCAGAGAGAGGCAGGTAAAGCTTTTGCTTGGGAAACCACTCCCTTCCTCTGGCAAAGGTTAGATTCATCATCAGTTAATCCAATATAAAGGCAAGTGGCTTTGGAAAGAGAAACACAGAATCCTAGACTGGTTTGGGTTGGAAGGGACCTTAAAGACCATGTCATTCCATCCCCTGCCATGAGCAGGGACATCTTCAACTAGACCAGGTTGCTCCACACCCCATCCAACCTGGTCTGGAACACTTCCACAGCTTCTCTGGGTAACAAATATAACCATGAGGAACCTGCTGTCAAACAGCCACAGTTACATCACTACTAAAACAAGAAGAGTCTGCCTGATGCCCTTCCAAAACCTGCCAGGGCCATGTCCCCCAGTCCTGCCACTGTGTCCATCAACCCCATCACGTGCCATGTCCCAGCCCTGGCCTCGTAGTGAGCACAGTCTGCACTGAGATATGACTCCCCTAACAAACATTGGGTGGGCACAGGTGCTGCCCCTGTGCCCCCCAGTCCCACTGCCAGCTCTGCTCCCCCCACAGCCAGGGACACTAATGCTGCTCATTCTCCTCAGAGCACCTTTTGCTGCTGCAGTGTGCAAGCAGGAGATTTGCCTTTCCCCAAGCTTAGTTCTTTGGGGGCAAAAGCAATTAAGTGGAGATTGCTCAGGGCTATAAAACACGATGGCTTTTAAGCTGAGCACATCTGCTTTCAGGAATTGGCTATTTAAGGCTGTGCCTTCCTGGATTTCCCCTGAAAGACTCATTGAAGCCACTGCCCTGAAAAATGAGTCTTTATTGAGGAGGCTGATGCCTCCTGCCAACTCCTTGCTCCTCTACCCCATTCATTTTCCAGTTCCTCATAGAAACTGGGGGCCAGGTGAGGTCCTTCCAGCTCCTTCCCAGAGCAGCTGGGAATACTTGTCCTTCCTATCCCATACAGAGTCCACGGCAGGAGTGATGGAGCTGGAGAGCATCTTTCAGCCAGGCAGACAGCTTTCATTTGCAGATTAAAGGGTGGAGAAACAGCCACCCCCCTGGGGAACACAACCCAACCTTTAATTAACCTCCCAGCTCCAAATTAGTCCCCTAATTTCCAGTTACTGCTAACGAGAGCTTTGCAGAGCTACTCAGCCTGAGTCCCACAGGGGCTACATTTTGAATAACTCACCAGCCTGAGAATAAGACCAGATTTCCTCCTCTCTCTCCCCTTCCCTCTCCCAGTCCAGAATGGGCTGGAGGAGCCCCAGAGCCGCTGGTCCAGACTTCAGGAGAGATGATGATGACACAAAGATCCCCATGCAGTGGCTTCACTCTGTCTCTATCCTCATCCTCTGTGAGGATCATTCCCAGCACGTGGGAACCTTCCACATGGGATAACTGTGCCTGACATGACTGAGGGGTTCCTGGGGCTCTCCCCACATCTATATCCAGCCTCTCTAAAGCCTGTGTGAGTATTTCTCCAAGGCTGGACATGGACAATGTCAGTACACTGACCCTCCTGCACTGCAGCAAAGATTTTTGCAGACCCAAGGCCTGTAAGGAAAAATCTCTTCCTTCCCTGAGGATGTGTGATGGGGTGTAACCAGGGTGAGAGGCTGAGCTCTGGGATTATCCAGCCTGGAGAAGAGAAGGCTCCAGGGAGACCTTATTGTGGCATTTCACTACTTGAGGGGATCTATAAGAAAGGTGGGGACAGATTTTTTAACAGGGCTTGTTGTGATAGGACAAGGGGGAATGGTTTTAAATGGAAGGAGGGACGGGGAAGGGGAAGGGGAAGG